GAAGACCTTCCGCAAATAATGAGAAGAATTGACAGCAGGTTTGAAATTCTCCATGTTGGTTTAGAAATATCTCGCTGGTAAATTGTATCTTCTTACGGTTGTTTTTCTGATAGGTTTATCTTATAGATAAGTAAGATTTGAATAAAGATGACACCTCTAATAGGCCTAAGTGGTGGCCAGAAGATGCTCCCTTCATCTCACCCAATAAACGGCCTATAGACGGTGAATCTAAACAATATATGTTTCCAAACGCACGTCTTTCAGAGTAATATACCTAGATATAGTTCTGTAATATATCTAGAGTTTCCTTTACTAAAGTAAAATCACGAACGTTATGCCTCTAACAGGAGATCATCTCACAACTAATGAAATTTTAAAAATTGGCAAGGCACTTCGCCTATACGTTCAGAAAAATGACGTGTTGATTGGAAAACGAGAGCCAATCGATTCTAATGATCTAATGATCATTAACGATTCTAATCAGCCAATCGTACAGAACAGCTTAACTTCACAGAATCTTGATAGTATTTCAATGTTCTTTGTAGCGTTATGCTGAGCATGTTTTTATATTATGGACTTTGTTTTTATCAAATTTTTTATTCCTTTCAGGATATTTATTCGCCTAAGACCTCAGGTAACGAGGAGGAGATTTATGTTGAAGATGAGGTAAGCCGTAAAAGAAAGTAAATATTTTCCTTCTGTCTTACAATCCTTATAGAAACAATGCAATCCTTATATGCATAAACAAAATATACTCAAATTAAAATATATGTAACACAAAAAGGAAACGATATTGTTTCTAGTCTGATGCTAAGCATGTGTATATATTATGGATGTTCTTCTGAAATAAATCTTTATTTTATTTAGAATGTTACTTCACCTAAGACATGGGATAATGCGGATCGAAATAATGTTAAAGATGAGGTACACCGTTAAAAAAGGAAATATTTTCTTTCTGTCTTACTAGCCTTATAGAAACAATATGCATAAACAAAAAATATTGAAACTATATTGCATGTAACTGAAAAGTAAATGATATTCTTTCTAGCCTGATGCTAAGCATGTTTATATATCGTAGCCTTCTTAAATTGATAATAACATTCATTCTCAATATTACAAGCTTTCACAATTTCATTGTAAGCAAATCCACCAAATTTTTGTCAGCCATTAAAACCATGAATATAAAAAGCAACAATGTCAAAACTACTGTAAGAAAAATAGCAATCTGTAATAGTAAAAAGTGTGTACAGTACTATAAATGTGACATGCACGAACTATTCTAATGATTCTGTTTGCTTGTTTCAGGTGACGGTGTTTCTGCACTAAGCATAGAGGACCTAAATATGTGATTACAAATATGGTAAATGGAGGGAGCCACCAAAGACATTTCTGGGAAGACATGTCAAATAGACCTAATTGGTGGCCAGAAAATGCTGCTTTCATCTCACCCAATAAACGGCCTATGCACGGTGAATCTACACAATGTATGTTTCCAGACGCACGTCCTTCAGAGTAATATACCTAGACATAGTTCTGTATATATCTAGGAATTTCTTACTTCAGTAAAATAACCAACTTTATACCTTTAACAGGAGGCCACCTCACAACAAATAACATTTTAAAAATTGGTAAAGCGCTTCGTCTTTACCTTCGGAAAAAGGACGGAAAACTAGAGCCAGCCGATTCTAATGATTTAAGTACAGAAAAGCTGGACTTCACACAATCTTAATAACATTTCAATAGTATTCCTTCTAGTTTGATGCTAAGCATGTGTATATATTATGGATTTTCTTCATTAATAAATCTTTATTTTATTCAAATTTCAATTCACCTAAGACATGGGATAATGCAGAGCGAATTGATGTTGAAGATGAGGTACACCGTTAAAAAAGGAAATATTTTCTTTTTGCCCTACAATCCTTATAGAAACAAAAGGCATAAACAAAAAATATTCAAAATAAAATATATATAACACAAAAAGTAAACGATATTGTCTCTAGCCTTATGCTAAACAAGCTTATATATTATGGACTTTCTTGTGTAAAAAATCTTAATTCCCTTCAGGGTGTTAATTGATCATACACATGGGATAATGCTGAGCAAATTGATTTTGAAGATAAGTTAAACCGTTAAAAAATGAAATATTTTCTGTTTGTCTTAAAAGTTTTACAGAAAAACATTTGCATGATTGGGATACTCCTTAGTCAAATCAGTAGTGGAAATTTAAATATGAAATTTCATTAAATTACTATAACAGCAACCAAATAATTGCTTCTAGTCATCATGTCATTATCGTATATTATATCATTAATAGGTTTTAGTTATTTAAATGTTACATTGAATAGTGTTTAAGTTTAAATCGAACAATTAAGTGATCTTATCAGCCGTCCCTTGAATAGATGTTACTGAACTTTTTTCAATGCAACATTAGAATCATCAGAAAGTAGAATCTGAATTGAAATAAGTATATTTGCTTGTTTTGAGAGTGAGACTCGACATTCAGCAACAATTTTAAAGTTTGCGTATGTTTTCAGTTTATACTGCTTTAACAATTAAATCAATGTTTAACAACTTTTAGTATGCCATGTCTAAACATACAATGAAAAATGCGATACAATTAATTTGGTCTGCAAAAATTTCAAAAGTCGAAAGCTGAATGTTTCCTCAGTTTTTCGAAAGTATGTATTTGACTGGTTTGATTGTTTAAACGCGCTGTAGTTCTGCTGCTTGAAAATGAGATTTCAACATATTTTAAATACTCAGCCATCTTTTTCATTAATATTTTCATTAATATTACCGGCAGGTCCAACGACAGAAAAACTCATTTGATTGTAACGAATCTTGTCTCTCATTAAACAGTGGTCTGTTTTGCAGATCACCAGTAAGACTGTTGTTTTTTGATTTTGTTCTGTAAGTCACACGAATTTTTTGCCATAATCAAAGAAATATCCTCTTATTCTTAAGGTACTTGCAACATGTTGTCGAACCAGAAATGAAAAAAAAAATTTCATTGCTGACAGCACGGTTTCGGACGCTATATCAAAAACTCCACAAAAAGAAATGCACCTTAAGGCGAGGAGAATCGTTCCCTACGATTCCCTTCTTGACAAAGAAATGTTGGTTTTTGCATGCAATTTGACGTAAGCTTTTGATTTGTTTATTTCCTTGTACTCGTAATTGATATTTTATAAGAGACAGTGTTTGAGTGATAGAGAAAAGACTTACTGAATTATGCGTTTTCATCGTACAGTCTTGAAATTTAATATCCCCCGACTCAAGTTGGTTTTACTTCTTTAAAATATCAGAAAAAATTAAATATTAGATTTAACTGTGTCACATTAACAATGAATATTTCTGTGAAATCTTGGCATCTGCATTCTCAAAACCTTGTATCTTTGATTTTTTTAGGGAGGATTGGCATTGGATAGCAGTTGTTGTCTCCCTGGTGGATGGCTGGTCTGTAAAATTTGATTTATTTCTAATGCTTGCAAACGGATTTTCAAGACCTTGTGTAACGAATCTTGTCTCTCTCATTTAGATCCAAGCGAGAGTTTGTTGTCTCTATTTGTATTTAACTTGATTATTATGTTACATTTATTCTTTCTTGCAATCAAAAAGCAAAGACCCTTATCAAATCGATAAGATGATGTTTTGGAAGGATTTGGTACGAAATTTTCTTGCAATAATGAACAAAGTCTAATACTGCTATTTGAAAATTAGAAACATACTCGAATGGATTAGGAGGCATTGATGTCCATGAATATGAATCCGAAAAATCATAAGGATTTTGATACAAAGCCGAGTTTTAGATTTTAGATACGAAATTAAACGGATGATATTGTACGCTAAATTTATCTCATAGCTGAAAAACTCATTTCTGAAATGAGATTTCAAGATATTTTGAAAAGATATGGACACCTTCTTATTTAAAATTTTCTTTATGAGCAGGTTCCACGACAGAAAAGCTCCTTTGACTGCGGTTTTATGATGCTACATAACATCCAATTTGTCACAAAAAAGGTACAAGTTACTTCACTTTGTCACTTTACTTTTGTGGTCGTTGGAAAGTATGGGCACATAACAATGGGCAATGCCTCTCCCCACATATTTAACATGTTTAGGTACAAAATCTAAACGCTCGTTGGTATTATGAAAGTACAGTTTTCAGATCAATTTATATGTTTTAGGCAAGGGCAGAGAGCGATAATGCTACTCCAAGCAAAAATTCAGTCTTCGTATAGAAAACGGTTGATAAAAAGAATAAGAGCAAATATACACAAAAAAGAAATATTTGGAAACAAGCATGCCCGTTAAAACATATATACATAACCAGTCTTTAACAATATCTGGTGCTAATAATGCGGTAATTCGCAGTGAAACCCTCTCAAGTGCTAGTCTCCAGGTCTGAGGTCTTGTTATAGACTTTTTTTCAAAATAAATTCTAAAAACTATAATAAATATACCTTGTATAAGAAACAGGCGGCTTCATTCTCTACAAAAGGGGTAATTTTTTAAGAAAAACTTAGGCATGAAATTCATAATCTTAATTTATAAGTTATAAACAGTACGTAGTTTTTAATGTTTAAACACTAGGATGGTTGAAGTGTGTGTATTCTATTGATATGAAAAATTATACGGTAGATTATATATTATACATTACAAGTAACATTGAATACACGTCAATGGACGATACTGTTATAGAGGCTGTGTTTATTTGATTTGGCAGTACCTATTGATAAGAAACTTGGACCCTGTTGATGAAAAGTCTCGGTTTATAAGGAACTTAGTGAGGCCTCGGTTTTAAAAAAAGTGATTTCTATATGCGGATTTTTACTCTACTTCAAATACACATTTCTCATCCCAACAAAAGAATACGACAAACCAATTGTTTTATACTTGAGTCAATGAATGAACAGTATAAAAAGTACTGCCACTTTCCAGCAGATCTCGCTAAACATTGCTTTGTACTTTGCTAAGACAAAACATTGCTAAGACGAGATTTCAAGAAGCCCAAGTAATCAATTTAAGCACAATTTTCAGGAATACGAGATACAGGGAAACAAACTGATTATTTAGAGTGACGGGACCATACGTAATACCGATTCATCACCTAAAAAGTTTCTCGCACGTCTTTCAGAGCAACATACCTAGACATAGTTCTGTATATATCTAGAGTTTCCTTTACTTCGGCAAAATGACAAACTATATACCTTTAACAGGACGCCACCTCACAACAAATGACATATTAAAAATTGGTAAGGCACTTCGTCTATACCTTCGGGAAAAGGACGGAAAACGAGAGCCAGCCGATTCTAATGATGTAAGTACAGAACAGCTTGACTTCACACAATCTTAATAGCTTTTCAATGTTTTTTCTAGCATTGTGCAAAGCATGGTTATATATTGAGAATATTCTTCTGTAATTAATCTTTATTCCATTCAGAATGTTAATTCACCCGAGACATGAGATATTGAGGAGCAAATTGATGTTGAAGATGATGTAAACCGTTAAAGAATAAAATAATTTCTTTCTGTCTTACAATCCTTATAGAAACAATATGCATAAACAAAAAATATTCGAACTATATTGCATGTAACTGGAAAAGTAGATCATATTGTTTCTAGCCTGATGCTAAGCATGTTTATATATTGCAGCCTTCTTTCAATGATGATGAAATCAATTCTCAATATTACAAGCTTTTACAATTTCATTGTAAGCAAATCCACCAAATTTTTGTCAGCCATAAAAGCCATGAATATAAAAAGCAACAATGACAAAACTACTGTAAGAAAAATTGCAATCTTTATTAGTAAAAAGAGTGAAATGTGACATGCATGAACTATTCTAATGATTCTGCTTGTTGTTTTAGGCGACGGTGTTTCTGCACTAAGCATAGAGGACCTATGTTTCTAGCCTCATGCTAAATAAGTGTATATATATATATATGTCTCGACCTAAGATTCATTATTGCCAACTGCAAATAGTAACATTTGAATAAAATTCCTTCTAGTCTGATGCTAAGCATGTGTATATATTATGGAGTTTCTTTTGTAATTAATTTTTTTTTATTCAGAATGTTAATTCACCTAAGACATGGGATAATGCAGAGCGAATTGATGTTGAAGATGAGCTAAACCATCAAAAAGGTAAATATTTTCTTTCTGCTATAAAATTCTTCCAGAACAATATACAAAATCAAAAAATAATCAAATTATAATGAGAAGAATGGACACCAGGTCTGAATTTTTCCATGCTGATTCCAAAGCATCTGGCTTGTAGACTATATCGTCTTATGGTTGCTTTTCCGACACGTTGATCTCCGATATATATATATAACTATCATGGATAAGTAAGATTGATTCAAGATAAAATGCGATTCAATAATGAAAAGTTTATGTTTTCACGGACGCCTTCAGCTTGTACGGGTTAAATTCTTTCTAACAATAAAATTTGTTAAATTTTCTTTTTGTCTTTTGGGGTATAACAGACCCTGGTTTTATTTTTGTATCTTTTTGTCTAGGTATTCCAAATTAAGAGCCTTGCCTCGTGGGAAATTCCCCATAGTGACAACCGGCAATGGAGACTGTCTCTTTAATGCTGTGGGGATTTCCCTCTAAGAAAGGGAAGACATTGCTCCGGTCCTACGCTTGGGAAGCATTCAAGAAGCTGTTCAACATGTCGCACACTTTGTTGAAGATGTATGTAGAAGTGATATCTTTGGAAATTAATTGTCAACGAGCTAAGATCCTTCTGATACTTGATCCATGTAACACGTTCTCAACTTACTTCGTGGAATGAAAAAACAGATTTTTAAAGACTGTTGCACTTTTAGAAACGTTGCCACACGTGCGATTGTATTAAGGAAATAACATTTTAAGTAACTAATTTGCTGACTGTAACAAGATATGTCAAAGAGTTGAAAACTCAAAAGCTGAAGCTGAGCATAAAAATTTATTCGGAACTGACAAACGCTATGCTCTTAATTACCAAGATATACTGATTTACTTCTGTCATGATTGGGGTACTCCTTAATCAAATCAGTAGTAGAAATCTAAATATGAAATTTCATCAAATTATTATAACAGCAACCAAATAATTGCTTCTAGCCATCATGTCATTATCGTATATTATATCATAAAATAGGTTTTAGTTATTTAAATGTTACATAGAATAGTGTTTAAGTTTAAATCAAACAATTAAGTGATCTTATCAGCCGTCCCTTGAATAGATGTCGCTGAACTTTTTTCAATGCAACATTAGAATCATGAGAAAGTTGAATCTGAATTGAAATAGGTATATTTACTTGTCTTATGTGAGACTCAACATTCAGCAACAATTTTAAAGTTTGCGTATGTTTTCAGTTTATACTGCTTTAATAATTGAATCAATGTTTGACAACTTATAGTATGCCACGTCTATACATACAATGGAAAATGCGATACAATTCATTTGGTCTGCGACCTCAGAAGTTCTATCTAAAGCGATATTAAAACGGAGGTTTCAATCACCAGCTGCAATGATAACGGAGGCAATTAAGCAGAGGTTGATGTGAACAGCCAAAGAAAGGACATATTCAGGTAAATATCACCATCACAAAAGCTTCGTCAATACATATTTCGAACGTTATTTGACAAATCAATGAGAAAATGGTTGCATTAAAAATAGAAATTGGTTTTATTTTGGCATTAACAAGGGTTGCATTTTGCACATTCACAGACATTTACAAGTGGTTTTGACGCATCGTGTTGAATTGTACGATATTTGTATACAGGAGATCATCTCACATCGAACAAAATTACAAACATTGGTTAGGCACTTCGTCTATGCCTTCAGAAAATTCACGCGTTGCTTGGAAAACGGGAGCTACTCGATTCCAATGATGTAAGTACATAACATTCCAAGCTCGACAGTGTCGAAATCATTTCTCAAGGCAGTAGCCTTGCAAGGCAAACAAAATGACATTCTTGCCTGCATTCGCAGATAGAAGCGAGAATTCAAATTCGAAGACCTTTCTCAAATAACGAGAAGAATTGACACCATATGCTGATTGAAAAATATCTGGTTGGTAGATTTTATCTTCCTACCATTTAATTTGCGATCCGTTTGTTTTAGATTATCTGATGTTTTCTTTACTATGGTTAAATAACGAACTTGATGCCTTTAACATGATATCATTTAACATCGAATGATATTATAAAAATTGGTAAGACATTTCGTTTATAGGTTCAGAAAAATGACGCGTTGCTTGGAAAACGAGAGCCAATCGATTCTAATGATCTAATGATCATTAACGATTCTAATCAGCCAATCCTACACAACAGCTTAACTTTACACAATCTTGATAGTATTTTAATGTTTTTTCAAGCGTTATGCTAAGCATGTCTACATATTATGGACTTTCTTGTGTAAAAAATATTTTTTTCTTTTAAGATGTTCCTTCATCAAGGATTGATGACAACAAACAAATTGATGTTTATCACGAGGTTAACCATAAAAGAAAGAAAAAAAAACAAATAATATTCAAATTATAATGCATGTCTTTGAAAAGTAAACAAAATTGTTTCTAGCCTGATGCTAGGCATTAAGGACTTTCTTGTTTAATAAATCTTTATTCAATTTATCTTATTGCTCTATTGCAGAATTATGAAGGCACGGAACAAATTGATGTTGAGGATGAGATAGGCCGTAAAAGAAAGTAGATATTTTCCTTATGTCTTACAATCCTTATAGAAACAATATGCATAAACAAAAAATATTCAAATTAAAATATATGTAACACAAAAGTAAATGATATTCTCTCTAGCTTGTTGCGAAGCAAGTTTATGAATTATGGACTTTCTTTTTATCAAATTTTTCATTCCTTTCAGAATATAAATTTCCCTAAGACATCCGGTAATGAGGAGGAAATTTATGTTGAGGATGAGGTAAGCCGTAAAAGAAAGTAAATAGTTTCCTTCTGTCTTACAATCCTTACAGAAACAATATGTATAAACAAAAAATATTCAAAATAAAATATGTGTAACACAAAAAGGAAACGATATTGTTTCTAGTCTGATGCTAAGCATGTGTATATTTTATGGATTTTCTTCTGTAATAAATCTTTATTCCATTCAGGATGTTAATTCGCTTAAGACCTCCGGTAATGAGGAGGAAATTTATGTTGAAGATGTGGTAAACCGTTGAAAAGACAAATAATTTCTTTCTCGTATAGAATTCTCACAGAATCGTATGCAAAAGAAGAAAATAATAAAATTATAAAGCATGTAACTGAAAAAGCAGAATGGAAAAAGCCGGATAGTTTCGAAATGTGGTGCTTGAGACGGATGCTGAGAATACCCTGGACTGTGAGGCGAACAAATACATCAGTTCTTGAGGAGATACAGCCGAGATGTCCGTTAGAACATTAGAAGCAAGAAGTATGAAACAAAAACCACGCTTTTTCCATTTAGGATGTTGCTTCATCGAAGAAAGTTGACAGCAGGGAGCAAATTGATGTTGAAAATTAGGTAAACCGCAAAGGAAAGCAAATATTTTCTTTCGTTCTTGAATTCTCACAGAAACCATATGCAAAAAATCAAATATTCAAATTAGAATATATATAACTAGAAAAATAAATGATGTTGTTTCTAGCCTGATGCTTAGCATGTTTATAAATATTATGGATTTTCTTGTGTAAAAAATCTTTATTCCATTCAGAATGTTAATTCACTAAAGACATGGAATATTGTGGAGCGAAGTTGAAGATGAAGTAAACCATATAAGTAAGCAAACAATAATTCTGTTTGTTTTACAATCTTTACAGAAGACATATGCAAAAACAAAAAATATTCAACTTAGATTATATGTAACTGGAAAAGTAAATTATATTCTCTCTAGCTTAGTGCTAAGCATTTTTTTATATATTAAGGACTCTTTTGTGAAATAATTCTTTATTACATTTAGGATGTTCCTTCATTGAAAAATAATAAAGGCATGAAAAAAATTGATGTTGAAGATGAAGTGAACCGTAAAAAAAGGCAAAAAAAATCTGTTTCTTCTATAATCCTTACAAAAAGATATACAAAAACAAAAAATATTCAAACTATAATGCATGTAACTCAAAATTTAAATAATCTTGTTTCTAGTCTGTTGCTAAACATGTTTTTATATATGTCTGGACCTGAGATTCATTATTGCAAATATATGGCAAACGGAGGGAGGCACAAAAAACACTTTTGACAAGACATGTCAAATAGACCTAATTGGTGGCCAGAAAATGCTGCTTTCATCTCACCCAATAAACGACCTATACACAGTGAATCTACACAATGTATGTTTCCAAACGCATGTCCTTCAGAGTAATATACCTAGGCATAGTTCTGTATATATCTAGAGTTTTCTTTACTAAAGTAAAATCACGAACGTTATGCCTTTAGGAGATCATCCGACACCGGATAAAATTACGAGTATTGGTAAGGCACCTTCCCTATACCTTTTGACAAAAGACGCGTTGCTTGAAGAAAGCAACGATCAAGAACGAGAGCCAACCGATTCTTTGTCAAAATAAAAGTACAAAACAGCTTGACTTCACAGAATCATAACATTTCAATAATATTCTTTCTAGCTTGATGCTTATCATGTTGTATATGTTATGGACTTTTTTGCAATTAATTTTTATTCCATTTAGGATGTTGCTCGATCAAAGAATGTTGACAGCACGGAACAAATTGATGTTGAAAATGAGGCAAACCGTAAAAGAAAGCAAATATCTTCTTGCTCTTTTACAATCCTTACAGAAACCATAAGCAAAAATAAAAAAAAATAAAATCACAATGTCTGTAACTGGAAATGTATATTATATTCTTTCTAGCTTGATACTAAGCATGTATGTATATGATTTTATAGTGCAAGACCCAATAAAAAATTGGGTACAAGTAGCAGCATAGTCTAAAAATTGCTTTTGTGGAATTTTTAAAGCAGTTTTTGCGTCTCGTTTTATTCAGCACGTCAAATACCGCCAGAAAGAAAGTTTCAGTTTAATATTATGCAAAGTCAAAACGTTGCAGTTTTATACCTAAAAGATTGCTTGATACTCTAATCCCAGTCTAAAAGTTGTTTTTCAGCATATTCGATTGTGTACTTGTACCGAACTTCATGCTATTATCATAACATGCACAATTTCTCTGCTATGCGTCTGAACTATCATAGACTTCAGAAAGCAGGTTGTTTGGGAAAACGAAATGTTTCATTTTACAGCCATAGCATTTCGCTTAAAGGTCAGATCACATTGCTCTTTTATATTTTTTGCTCAGTCTTGCAGATAGTTCTGATGGTGTCGTCAGTATATTTTCATCTCGTTTTATTCAGCACGTCAAATACCGCCAGAAAGAAAGTTTCGGTTTAATATCATGCAATGTCAAAACGTTGCAGTTTTATACCTAAAAGATTGCTTGATACTCTAATCCCAGTCTAAAAGTTGTTTTTCAGCATATTCGATTGTGTACTTGTACCGAACTTCATGCTATTATCATAACATGCACAATTTCTCTGCTATGCGTCTGAACTATCATAGACTTCAGAAAGCAGGTTGTTTGGGAAAACGAAATGTTTCATTTTACAGCCATAGCATTTCGCTTAAAGGTCAGATCACATTGCTCTTTTATATTTTTTGCTCAGTCTTGCAGATAGTTCTGATGGTGTCGTCAGTATATTTTCATCTCGTTTTATTCAGCACGTCAAATACCGCCAGAAAGAAAGTTTCGGTTTAATATCATGCAATGTCAAAACGTTGCAGTTTTATACCTAAAAGATTGCTTGATACTCTAATCCCAGTCTAAAAGTTGTTTTTCAGCATATTCGATTGTGTACTTGTACCGAACTTCATGCTATTATCGTAACATGCACAGTTTTACTGCTATGCGTCTGTACTATCATAACCGTCAGAAAGCAAGTTGTTTGGGAAAAGGAAATGTTTCATTTTACAGCCATAGCATTTTGCTTAAAGGTCAGATCACATTGCTCTTTTATATTTTTTGCTCAGTCTTGCAAATAGTTCTGATGGTGTCGTCAGATTTCCAAAGTTGAAGTTCGCTGACCGTGCATTTTTTATGCTTCCAGAAACGCGACTTCCAGTCATTTGCCAGAATAATACTAAGACTTTATCAGGGGCCTTAATTCTTCTTTTTCAAACTTTAAAAACTTCGGTTAGACATGTTGCTAGATGGCTATGCAAAATTCCCTGCTTAGTGGGCTTGCAAATTTAGTGGGAAAATTAAATAGTAATGGTTCTATATTTGTTAGCTTCTTAATGAAAAATAACACTGTATCAGTATTGAAAGTATATTGCTGTATTCGTTCGAGAATCCGTCTTGATTGGCAAGACAATCTTCTATATTTTGAATTCCCGATCTTCAGATAGGCAGCACCGAACAACAACCAGTACAACTTTTATTCGTTATGAATGCACTAAAAATGGTATGAATGAAAATTAAATCATCACATTAAGGCTTGCAAGCTGGACGTGATAGAAAAGTGAATCCTCAGTAAAATTTCCCTAATCGTATCAGTATCAGCTATAAGATGGCAATGTACCCTGACCTTTAAAAATAAACAGCCCGATAAAGAACAAGAAAATTCTTGTCTGAAGCGCATAAAATCATATGGATCACTGCGCTCTCTACTTATGGTTCAAAAACAGGAAAACCTGGGCCAGTAAAGAAAAAGCTAGTCAATAATTTCAAAAGTCGAAAGCTGATTTTTTCCTCAATTTTTAGAAAATATCTATTTGACTGGTTTAATTTTTTAAACGCGCTGTATTCCTGCTGCAAAATATCTCTGGTCGAAATATGTCTTACAAAAACCTTGCGATAAACGCGTTAGGTGATAAATCGGTATTACGTACCTGCTACTCGTTGCAGATAAAAAATCAAGCCGTTTTATAGCTCCTATAGTCTCGTCATCCTCAATGGACAGTCTGTTTCCCTGCATCTTGTAATCCTGAAAATTGTGCACAAAATGATTACTTGAGCTCCTTGTAAATCACGTTTAACCTAGAGTACAAAGCAACGTTCAGTGAGATCTGCTTGAAAGTGGCATTACTTTTTATACTTTTCATTCATTGAATTTAGTTTCAAAAAAATAGTTTATCGAATATTTTTGCTGAGATGAGAAATGTGTATTTGAAGTACAGTAAATATCCGCATATAAGAAAGCGTTTTTCTTAACTGAGGCCTCACAAAGTTCCTTATAAACTGAAACTTTCATCAACAGGGTCCAAGTTTCTTATCAATAGGTACGGCAAAATCAAATAAACACAACCTATATGACAGTACTGTCCATTGACCTGTATTCAATGTTACTTGTAGTAGTGTATGATATATAATCTACCGTATAATTTTTCATATCAATAGAATACACACACTTTAACCATCCTAAAGCATACACATTAAAGACCACCTACTGTTTATAATTTATAAATTAAGATTATAAATTTCAGGCCAAAGTTTTTCTTATAAAATGACCCCTTTTGTAGAGGATGAATCCGCCTGTTTCTTATACAAGGGATATTTATTATAGTTTTTAGAATTTATTTTGAAAATAAGTCGACAACAAGACCTCAGACGTGGAGACAAGCATTTGAGAGGGTTTCACTGCGAATTACCGAGTTTTTAGCACCAGATATTTCATCTTCATCTCTAGAGAGCTTTGTTGTTAAAGACTGGTTATGTATATATGTTTTAACGGGCATGCTTGTTTCCAAATATTTCTTTTCTGTGTATATTTGCTCTTATTCGTTTTATTAACCGTTTTCTATACGAAGACTGGATTTTTGCTTGAAGTAGCATCATCTCTCTCTGCCCTTTCCTAAAACATATAAATCGATCTGAAAACTGTCTTTTCATAATAACAACGAGCCTCTACATTTTGTACCTAAACATGTTAGATATGTGGGGAGAGGCATTGTTCATTGTTATGTGCCCATACTTTCCAACGACCACAAAAGTAAAGTGACAAAGTGAAGTAACTTGTACCTTTTTTGTGACAAATTGGATGTTATGTAGCATCATAAAACCGCAGTCAAAGGAGCTTTTCTGTCGTGGAACCTGCTCATAAAGAAAATTTTAAGTAAGAAGGTGTCCATATATTTTCAAAATATCTTGAAATCTCAATTCAGAAATGAGTTTTTCAGCTATGAGATAAATTTAGCGTAAAATATCATCCGTTTAATTTCGTATCTAAAATCTAAAACTCGGCTTTGTATCAAAATCCTTATGATTTTTCGGATTCACATTCATGGACATCAATGCCTCCTAATCCATTTGTTCATTCTTAAAATTTTAGGAGCTTTAAATCTTGAAAATAATCAATTTTTGCAAAATTTATGAAAAAAGTATTCTTAAGTAATAATGTAAATGTTTACCATTGACTCGAGCTTCTTGAGACTGGGAAGGACATTACCATTTTCCTTTGCTACACGAGCCGTTTAAAAACTCGACGAACTTTTCAGCAATCCTTTCATTGAAAAGTCTTCCGAGAGAGTCGAGGGTGGTTATCCTTTGAAAAAAATTGTTGTTATAACGAGTATGTTTCTAATTTTCAAATAGCAGTATTAGACTTTGTTCATTATTGCAAGAAAATTTCGTACCAAATCCTTCCAAAACATCATCTTATCGATTTGCTAAGGGTCTTTGCTTTTTGATTGCAAGAAAGAATAAATGTAACATCATAAGCAAGTTAAATACAAATAGAGACAACAAACTCTCGCTTGGATCTAAATGAGAGAGACAAGATTCGTTACACAAGGTCTTGAAAATCCGTTTGCAAGCATTAGAAATAAATCAAATTTTACAGATCAGCCATCCACCAGGGAGACAAATAAATTTCAAGACTGTACGATGAAAACGCACAATTCAGTAAGTCTTTTCTCTATCACTCAAACACTGTCTCTTATAAAATATCAATTAAGAGTACAAGGAAATAAACAAATCAAAAGCTTACGTCAAATTGCATGCAAAAACCAACATTTCTTTGTCAAGAAGGGAATCGTAGGGAACGATTCTCCTCGCCTTAAGGTGCATTTCTTTTTGTGGAGTTTTTCATATAGCGTCCGAAACCATGCTGTCAGCAATGAAAATTTTTGTATTCATTTCCGGTTCGACAACATGTTGCAAGTACCTTAAAAATAAGAGGATATTTCTTTGATTATGGCAAAAAATTCGTGTGACTTACAGAACAAAATAAAAGAACAACAGTCTTACTGGTGATCTGCAAAAGAGACCACTGTTTAATGAGAGACAAGATTCGTTACAATCAAATGAGTTTTTCTGTCGTGGAACCTGCCGGTAAATAAGAATATTAATAAAAAAGATGGCTATGTATTTAAGATATGTTGAAATCTCATTTTCAAGCAGCAGAACTACAGCTCGTTGAAAAAATCAAACCAGTCAAATACATATTTTCTAAAAACTGAGGAAACATTCAGCTTTAGACTTTTGAAATTATTGCAGACCAAATTAATTGTATCGCATCTTCCATTGTATGTATAGACGTGGCATACTATAAGTTGTCAAACATTGATTTAATTATTAAAGCAGTATAAACTGAAAACATAGGCAAACTTTAAAATTGTTGCTGAATGTTGAGTCTCACTCTCAAAACAAGCAAATGTACTTATTTCAATTCAGATTCTACTTTCTGATGATTCTGATGATGCATTGAAAAAACTTCAGTAACATCTATTCAAGGGACGGTTGATAAAACCACTTAATTGTTTGATTTAAACTTAAACACTATTCTATGTAACATTTAAATAACTAAAACCTATTTTATGATATAATATACGATAATGACATGATGGCTAGAAGCAATTATTTGGTTGCTGTTATAGTATTTTAATGAATTACATATTTCGATTTCCATTACTGATTTGATTAAGGAGTACCCCAATCATGACAGAAGTAAATCAGTATATCTTGGTAATTAAGAGCATAGCGTTTGTCAGTTCCGAATAAATTTTTATGCTCAACTTCAGCTTTTGAGTTTTCAATTCTTTGATATGTCTTGGTAGAGTCAGAACAAAAGTTACTCAAAATGTTATTTCCTTAATACAGTCACATATGTGGCAATGTTTCGAAAAGTGCAACAGTCTTTAAAAATCTGTTTTTTCATTCCACGAAGTAAGTTGAGAACGTGTTACATGGATCAAGTATCAGAAGGATCTTAGCTCGTTGACAATTAATTTCCAAAGATATCACTTCTACATACATCTTCAACAAAGTGTGCGACATGTTGAACAGCTTCTTGAATGCTTCCCAAGCGTAGGACCGGAGCAATGTCTTCCCTTTCTTAGAGGGAAATCCCCACAGCATTAAAGAGACAGTCTCCATTGCCGGTTGTCACTATGGGGAATTTCCCACGAGGCAAGGCTCTTAATTTGGAATACCTAGACAAAAAGATACGAAATTAAAACCAGAGTCTATTGTACCCACAAAAGACAAAAAGAAAATTCAACGCATTTTTTCGTTAGATAGAATTCAACCTTTACAAGCTGAAGGCGTCAGTGAAAACATAAACTTTTTATGCTTGAATCGCATTTCATCTTGAATCAATCTTACTTATCCATGATATAAATATATATAGAAGATAAACGTATCGGAAAAGCAACCATAGGAAGATATAATCTACCAGCCAGATATTTTGGAATCAGCATGAAAAAATTCAGACTTGTTGTCAATTCTTCTCATTATTTGCGGAAGGTCTTCGATTTTGAATTTTCCTTTTGCTTGCCTTGCAAGGCGTATGCTCTTGCTTCCAGCTGCCTGGTAATGAGAAAAAGTGTTTATCAATCAAACGAGGGAATTTTCCTTGCAGTATGAATTAGTTACTTTCATTTAGGAAATAGCTTTTAGAACGCTACATGTAATATGTGAAAAAAGCCTATACTTCACCACTACTGCAACTTGATGTTTTCACTCATCTATTTTCATGTTGTTCACAAATATTAAGTGTTACTTAAATTTTTTATATTTTCCATCAAATGCATTGTGTGAGCATAGAAAACAAGAAACTAAGCTGCGATCGATTTCTGTAACATATCATTTCCTAAATCAGCGGCGAACCCAAGAAGGGAAATAGGAGGGTCCAGACCCCACCACTTTTCTAAAATATTGTCCTCGAAATTTGTCCAAAAACGATGTAAAACTCGTGTGGGAGAGGGGGGGGGGGCTAGTATATGCTTGTGTCAATAACTATTTACCGTATCTAGCATGAATCAAATAATAAAATCAAATTCTCCGCAGTTGCGAGTGTTTGAAGGGCGTGGTCCAGATAATTTTTTGGGCCTACGCCCCCGGCCCTCCCCTCCCCACTGCTGCAGCCCTGGGACGCCACTGGCCTAAATTACATACAATAAAATTAATTTTCCAATAAACATGCGGTTTTAACATATCTTTTGTGTAATATAATTGTAAAAAACAAACGAGAAAGCAAAAGGAAACCAAAACAATTGCAGGACATTCTCATACCTATCGTAAGTAACGGTTCTTGATCGTTGCGATCTCTAAGCAACGCGTCCTTTTTCAGAAGGTATAGATGAAGTGCCTTTCGTTCGGTGTGAGATTATCTCCTGCTAAAGGTATAAAGTTGGTTATTTTACTGAAGTAAGAAATTCCTAGATATATACAGAACTATGTCTAGGTATGTTGCTCTGAAAGACGTGCGAGCTTTTTTGCACTTACATCATTAGAATCGGCTGGCTCTCGTTTTCCGTCCTTTTTCCGAAGGTATAGACGAAGCGCCTTACCAATTTTTAATATGTCATTAGTTGTTAGATGACTTCCTGTTAAAGGTATAAAGTTTGTCATTTTGCCGAAGTAAAGGAAACTCTAGATATATTACAGATTGCTTTTTTTCTTACAGTAGTTTTGATATTGTTGCTTTTTATATTCATGGTTTTTATGGCTGACAGAAATTTGGTCGATTTGCTTACAATGAAATTGTGAAAGCTTGTAATATTGAGAATTAATTCAAGGAGACTACACTGCTTAAAAGTTGGGCGTTCAATAAATCTTCTACTCAAAAGAAAAAAGGTATGATTTACGAATTCACGCAAGCAAAACATCATCAGATAAGCATGAACGATAATTACTATGTTAAAATTGAAGGTGTATCATAAAACTTCATCATTTTCATCAAAGGAAACCTATGCTGTTTGAAGATAAATTTATTGCTGCAATTTTAGTAAAGTGTTTTGAAACACTGACAGGAAGTGCTCTATGGACACAAAGTTTTGAATTAATCATGGGAAAAGTCAAGAGCAGAATTAGAAAAGCTAGAAGCCCTGCCTCGATGCCCTAGCTTTGATATATGTATGCAATTGTCCATGCAGGCTGAGTCAGGGGGTAGTATACCTCGGCCTATGTAATACAAAATTACTGCTTCAACATACGTATTAATACCTCTTCAAATTTTGATTTCTTGCGATGTTTCTTGCGTCGAATGGATGGCAGCACCTCCGATATTGTTTTGGAGGCCAGCGCCTCACAAACAATTTTTTTGATCAGAGTGATTGACTCTCTGAAAGCACCAACTAGCATCGGATGTCCTGAAGAATAACACAGTTCAGAAATTTTTATTATAAAAGATTACATGTAACTAAATCTTCGTTATCAACGACTATGTCAATTTCTTTTCCTTCAACTGCTTCTTCTCTGCTAAATATGTGAAGCTTACAAAAATAATGCGATGCGAAAAGTTTGAAACCTCACCTGAAAATGTTAACTTGTTTCCTTGTAAGTACATAAACAGTACTGGCGGAACAAATTTTTTTCCATCGTCGACCCATTTCTGAAACTAAATATTCATAAATTCTAATATCATCCTTAAAAATCTTATTTGTTTAGAAGTAAGAGTATTGCTTCCTGATTGACGACAATTTGTATAAAATAACTTTCATTCAAGAAGGCTGATTCATTATATTTTTATTATAGTTTTCCAGAAGCACCCGTTCACCAGAAACATTTGTAGTAGCCCAGATAAGGATTTTTGACTGGTGAGGGAAAACTTTCAAATTAAAATTTTTTAAAAGCACAATAACCGCAATAAGACAAAAGTTTTAATTTTCAGGTGCGGCACATCAAGTTAGTTGGACACATTCCCCACCAGTTAGAAGGTTGGAAGATGCCTTTTGCATCTAGCGTGGCATTTCTTCAGTTATAATGACAGATGTTAGAAGGATTTTGTATTCTGTATTTTTTTGAAAAAATTAAATGTGAAAGGGTTTTCAAAAATTCGGTCTTCAAACAAAAGTTGATAGAGGTTTTATGGAGATAGTATTTGCTTCTTGCGAATCTCTTGCCTGTAGAATTCCAAAGCAAATTAGCATGATTCTACAATATTTATGACTTATATCGTTTTGTATTCAGTTTTGAAAATCAGAATTCTTAAGTGTCAAAGGAAACGATTTACACGTCAATTAAATCAAGAATTTCATTAACCGTGCATGGAGTATATATTTAGAGGCACACAGAATATCTAAAACAGGGTAATTTTTGTGAGCATAGATGCTGTAGGCGATGCCCTTGGAAACCTGACGTTAACCCCCCTTTTCCCCCAGGAAAACCAAGCGGTGAATCACTCCTAAAAATCTCGTAAACCTTTACGAATTACCAAAAAAATCTCTAGAATCTCTTAAAAATTGCTGGAATCTCAAAACCTTTAAAATAAATCATAAACTATAATCATTACCAAAATCATTACAAAAAATTTTGAAATCTAAAAAAAGAATCTTGAAGTCTAGAACACAAAATTTGGCGGTAGATGAAAGATTTCGCCAAATCCTGGAGTATTCGAAGTTTTCAAAGCGAATCCTCGATAACAATTTTTACAGTTAGTGAATCAAAATCTCTTCTGATGAGAAAAGCGTCCAAAGTAAGCACAACTGGCAATGCAGCTCCAGCCCGGGATAGCTGGAGAGCAGAAGGAGGCAGAAGGAGGCAGAAGGAGGCAGAAGGGGGCAGAAGGGGGCAAAAGGGGGCAAGAGGGGTCTGGGACCAAGACTATTTTAGACCATGCATCTTTTCTCCGCGAAAAGCATTTTCTCTCGCAGGAAACGCCCGTGTCTCCCAAGAAATGCCATTCATTTAACTAACCGTTGGCAATCAACACTATTGCCTAAAACTTAATTTCAGAGCCTTTGAACTTAGCAATTTTACGTATATAAACAAACTTTTTACAGTGCACTGCTCAGTGACAAACTGTCATCTGAAAATCACAGTTATCATAATAAACTTCCTACAGCGCAAAATTTTCATTTAAAATCCCAAAATATTCAAGAACCTGCTTCAAACAATCAAAACTCATAACTTTACAAGAACTTTAAAAATTCCGGAAATCTACTGGAAATTCCAAAATCTCCATTAAGAAACTGGAGTACTCAACATCGACCTTTGTTTCTTATAAAAAAAGAATGTACAACTACAAAAATCAAAGCAAAATTCAAAAACCTCAAAATTCAAATTCAAAAACTTGTTTATTTGAATAATGACACACTTTTGTTCCTAACCGTCATAAGCATTTTCCTTTATAACAGTCTCTGAAAATATTTAAAACTTAAACAAGCTATAAACTTCTAGAAAAGTTTTGAAAAAACAGAGTTGCCAGGAGAGGGGATCAAGAATACACTTTTTGTAAGAAACAAAGGTCGATGTTGAGTACTCCAGTTTCTTAATGTTTTTGAAATTTCAATACTGATTGTTTCTTAAGAGTTTCTTAATTATGATGTCATGAATGATGTTATGAAATGTTCGTGACCTTTTTGTCACGTCAAGAGATTCGCTTCCGTTCTGATGCTGTATTTAGATGTTAGCTGGTAAAAATGTTTAGATGTTACTAACAAAAAAAGTTAGCTGGAATAAAACTTTAGGCATTGTGGTCAAATACTGAGCGATCATAATCTATGGCTACCTGGATTGATTTTCTTCTGCATGTCCGTAAGTATGCTGTCTTTTCCTTCTGGTAGGCGAAGCGATTGGAACGTTTTTGGTTGTTAGCCATCTTTCCGAAACAACAATCGACATGTGGTCAACGTTCTTGCTAGTATCTAAATAAAATAAAATGTCAATCAGTATTTTCAGTCAGTTATAAAATACAACTTAAATTGTCATGCTACAGAAGACAAAAAATTAAGACTTTTTGCTTTATTTAAAGAAACTTTAAGTTTGAGCCATATCTTGATCTTTTGTCGGATTATTCTACAAGAAGCCACTTTGCTAAAAGGCGCCATAGTGCGCATAATTTGCACATTGAAACTGGCAGGTATGCAAAGACCCCAAGATCTGAGAGACAATAGGCGTACGGAACGGGGGGGGGGTGCAGGGGGGCTTCAGCTGATTTTTTCGGGCAAAATTCGGGCAAGAGCCTTCTCCAAAATCAAAAAGTATAAGAAAAACTACATTTTGGGCATGTTAAAAAATCTCTGAGATGAAAAAATCAAGTAGTCGTAATTGTTAGCGCTTTCAGAAGTAATGAAATGAGGTAAAACTCTGTTGAGTGAAAAACACAAAAAAGCGACAAAAACAGCAACAGCCAAATAAATGCCTGAATAGATTGTCAAAGAAGTAAAAGAAAGTGGCTGTAATGCTGCCATAATTGATAAAACATCTGACTTTCGTCAGCACGAATAAATGTCGTTTTGTGTCATTTTTGCACTGAATGGTGTCCGAAAGGAAGTTTTTGCTAAAGTTTACAAAACTCAGTCTCCAGCAATTGTACAAATTGGACTTAAATGGGTATGTAGAAAATTGTTGGCAAATGGTTCGACGGTCTAAAATGAGCAGCAAAGCGGAGGGCTTGGAAAAGCGAATGGAGGACTGTTCTCCGCTGAGCATCTATGTAGACTGACTTGACCATTAGTTTAATGTTGCAGAAAGTAATGTTGTTTGAAAGAAATCTGCGCGCGATTTAGTGATAGTGACCATCGCATTTTATGTGATTTGGCGTAACGGAGGCATCTGGGACCCTAAGCGAAAAACTGCTACAGGACTTCTATTCACAGACAGCAAGAACATCACGTTCAATGGTGTAGAGCATGTCAAACACAATAGAATACTATGTCAAATACATAGATTAGCCTCGGAAAAGACAAGAATTTTCTTAAAACCCCCTGTGAATGATAGTAAAATTAGCCTTGGTAAAAACAATTATTTTCTCGGTAGCAAGGAGGACTGAGTTTTAGAGCTTCAGTTGAAGAACTTTCAAAGTTTTGAAAAATTATTTGAATTTGAGCAAAGCTTTAAAGATCTGATCGTAAAAGCACCTTGGGCGCCTTTTTGTCGGGGGCCCTTGGATGTATTGCCTTGAGGTATTGCCTAGTGTGCCGTGGAAAATTCTGTAATTTCATTCAATTGGTCTATAAAATTGAAAAAAATTTAAAAACTATCAGCAAATAATGTGCTGTTGATAGAAAAGGTTGAAAAGCGCTGAATCAAGGTGCTCTAAACTGTGTTAAGCCACTGGCCCGTGATAAGGGAATGCAAGCGTGAATGCTAACCCTTCGACAGAAATCATCATAAAGGTTTGCTCCTTCTACCAAATAGATTATGAGTTTTTGGCCTCCTAGAAATGGAACGCAAACTGTTCAATAATCGCAAGAATGGGCAGGTAAGCAAAAAAGTGCGTGAAATGCAGAAAATGATGCAAATCATGTTCACAAAAAGATATCGATCAAATAATCGATATATTTGGTCACTGTCGTGGAAAAATTCGCTTTTTTGATGAAAATATGTAAATTATTTTAATGACGCATTTTAATCATTTCTTGATTAATTTTAGAAGCTCACATGTGTTAAGGTATACTCCGTATTTGGGCGTTATTATTTTTCGGGCAAAAAAATTTCAGCCCCCCCCCCCCCCACTTGAACTAATCCCGTACGCCTATGTGAGAGCTTTGTATGAACAAATTAGGAAGGACATGTTAGAAACCATTTTTTTTGGAGACTCCGTCAGCTTGAGGATTTGATACAGAAAAACTTTTCATTTGATTAATGAGTCAAGAGAACAATGTTTGCCTTGAAAAAATTGCAAAATACTGCTATAGAACATTCCAAGAAAGTACTAACCAGAAAACACATTAATCAGTACCGGGATTGCTATGCATCAACGAAAACATTTCTACCTCTGAATCTTCAGTAACTGTTTACCATCTAGATGTAAACTATAATTTTATCTGAGTTAAGTGTTGAAAATTGTAAAGGTAATGATATATAATTGTTATTGTAAATTGTTTTATATGCTTTAGATATGTAGTCTCACACTATAAAATCTATACTTTTAATATGCGTTTAATTGTGTAATTGTTGTACTGTAATTAGGTAATGGGTCATCTCGGTCTCGATACCACTTGCAAAAAATTATTATCCGTTGTTGTTGTAGCTCTAAAACTCGACACGTGTTTATCTACCATATCAGTTTCGCTTCGCTGCCATCGTTTGGCTATGTTAACATAAATATCCGACCTATTTTAAAAACATTTTGATATGGGGGGATGATTGGCTCAGTATCGTCTTTTAATCGGGTAGGGAGGGGCGTTGTTTTGCATACAAGTCTGGCCACGTGGCAGAGAACCTCAGCAGGAAGCGACCTGTTTAGATGCGAACAGTATCGATTTACCAAAACAAGGAAAGTATAAATTAGGGGAATAAACACGAATCAACAGATTTTGATATCAGATTACTCGTTAACAAATAACTAACTAACAAGGTACTAACAACTATCAACACTCACCAAAAGATGCTGTAGCTTCCAAAGAGTTTGTCTAAAGAACACGTGCGACATTTATACCTAAGATAAACCCTCAACGGACCTATAAAACGTGTCGCGAATGCGCCACTCCAACAATGACAGCATTGCGACTCCCAAGACAACTAAAATGACAGAGAACAAAGGACAATAACAAGAACCAAACGCGAAAAAAACAAGTAAAGTGGTAAACAACTTGAAGGTAAATGAAAGTCAGTACTAACACAGCCCCCCCCCCCCAATTGCAACCCTAGCAATGACTGCAATACTGTGTACTAAATTTCTTTTCATGTTGTCTTGCCTCATCAAGCACACATAGGATCACGTCGCCCTGACTGAGTATACCTAGATACAAATTAAAATTTGTCTATTTCGCGTAGACTTAGACCTTTAACTTAGCACAGACAAAATATTTCAGGCTCTTCAGATATATATTCTAATCGCTTTTTGAAAAGCTGTGATACTTCTTAGTTGTCTTGACGGCCTAAATTTCTGGCGTCGCCCTGATTGGGTATGTTTTCGCTATATACACAAGGGTATCAAACGCATTGCACCACCTTGTTCAAAATGGCGGCACTTTTTGTAAATTTTTTGACAATACAAAACATTTGAATGCAGAAATTGGGTAAAATAGGCGTATTTTGTAGCAAATTTCGGCGGGAAAAAGTTGCAAATTTGGTTGACGCCATAGAAAAATTAGTTTTTGTTTGAAAAAATGTAGACCATGCCTAAGGAAGCAAAATTGTCAAATAAGGTGCGAGTCGCTATAAAATATTTACAGGGAAGTGGTCTTCAGTTTTCAAAAACATGTTCACCAAGATAGATGCCGTCACACAACTGCTGCGGGAAATTAAAAAAGATTTCTCGAGTGTTACAGTAGTAAAGAAACCGAGAAGTGGGCGACCAAAAATAAATTGATGTTAGAGGGGAACGAATTTGTCTGTTTTATCGCACTGCGTACAGCACCAAGAGGCAGTAAAAGACATGAAACTCGAAACTGGGCAAGGTTGTGCAGCTCAAAATCCGTTCACAGAAAATATAATGAGCGTTTTGAACAAATACAAAAGAAAAATTTACCTGAGTGTACGGAAACTATTTTTACAAAGAATTATTTCCAAACAAAAGAAATTGAAGCTTTGACATAGTCAAAGTAAAGTCCAATTTTTAACATCACTTAAAAAGTTTGACTTCAAATGAAAAAGGTTACAAACCGTGATCCAAAAGGTGGTCCAAAGACCAGAGAATCATTAATTCTAAAAGGTTTACAGGCCTAATACGAAATTCCACAAGAATACGTTGGCCAAATGTATGGATCCATTTCACGGAGGCTTTTTACGGTTTCAAAAGTTTACGGCTACCCGTCAAATTATTGAAATTTGAAACAGTTAAAAGACGTTTTCTACTGTTATTTTTAAAACAATTGCTCTAAATAGATTGACGTTTTGATTGGTCGTTGTTTTGCTTTCGACCAATTGCCATTCGCCACTTAAAAACAGAATTAATTTGCATAACAGTAGCTTTCAATCATTCTTGCGCCATTTCTCCTCCTTCGAGTTGGTGCAA